CAAAGCCCTGGAGCCCCTGCGGACGCCCGCGGGGGAGCGGGGCCGGGCCGGGGACAGGGGACGGGGACGGGGATGGGATGGGATGGGGACGGGGACGGGGATGGGACGGGGATGGGATGGGGGACGGGGACGGGGATGGGGGACAGGATGGGGGACGGGGATGGGATGGGATGGGATGGGGATGGGGATGGGATGGGGACGGGGATGGGGGACAGGATGGGGGACGGGGACGGGGATGGGATGGGATGGGATGGGATGGGATGGGGATGGGGACGGGGATGGGGGACGGGGCCCCGGCGGGGGCCGGCCCTGGCTCACCAGGCCGCACCTCAATGAAAACGCCATGTGGGTCACCTGAGTGGTACCCGAGTGGTGTTCTTTAATGATCGGAGCTGGCCCTTGCCAGTCACCCCTCGACTGTCCTCACAAACCTGTCTTTCTAGGAACGTGGCTGTGGCATCCTGCCCCAGAAGAAACCCTTCGCTTCACAGGCTGCGCCGGGTTGCCGCCTTGTGAACAGGGAAAGGTCAGTACAGTGTCCGCAGGGAACTGCCGGCGAGGTCTTATTTCAGATCTTCACAAAGACCCAGAGCCCCGTGGGCCTCTCCGAGGGAGCCCTGCTGGTGTGGTTTTTGAGGGAGAGGGTAGGATGATGTGTGACAAAGCTGAAACCCACACCAAGGAGGTCCGGTGGCAGAAGGTCTTATACGAGCGGCAGCCCTTCCCTGATAACTATGTGGACCGGCGGTTCCTGGAAGAGCTCCAGAAAAACATCTATGCCCGCAAGTACCAGTACTGGGCAGTGGTGTTTGAGTCCAGTGTGGTGGTGCAGCAGCTTTGCAGCGTCTGCGTTTTTGTGGTTATCTGGTGGTACATGGATGAGGGTCTGCTGGCTCCCCACTGGCTCTTCGGGATGGGCTTGGCGTCTTCAGTGGTCGGCTACGTCCTGTTTGACCTGGTGGACGGAGGCGATGGTCGGAGGAGGAGTGGGCGGACCCGCTGGGATGACCTCAAGAGTGCCCTGGTCTTCGTCACCTTCACCTACGGGTTCTCCCCGGTGCTGAAGACCCTGACGGAGTCCGTTAGCACGGACACCGTCTACGCCATGTCCGTCTTCATGCTGCTAGGCCACCTCATCTTCTTTGATTACGGGGCCAACGCTGCCATTGTGTCCAGCACGCTGTCTCTGAACATGGCCATCTTTGCCTCCGTCTGCCTGGCCTCCCGGCTGCCCCGGTCTCTGCATGCCTTCATCATGGTCACCTTTGCTATCCAGATTTTTGCCCTGTGGCCCATGTTACAAAAGAAACTGAAGGCCTTCACCCCCCGCAGCTACGTGGGGGTCACCCTGCTTTTCGCACTCTCGGCTCTCGGGGGCCTGCTCTCCATCAGCGGTGTGGGAGCTGTGCTCTTTGCCCTTCTGCTCATCTCCATCTCCTGTCTCTGCCCTTTCTACCTCATTCGCCTGCAGCTTCTTAAGGAAAACATTCACGGGCCCTGGGATGAGGCTGAGATCAAGGAGGACTTGTCCCGGTTCCTCAGCTAAGTTAAGCACCTCCTCTACATGAGTAAAGCCAGCTGCTCAGACTCCCATCCGCACCAGAATAACATCTGAAGGCAGGGCTCCATTCTGGAAGCACCAGGCTAATATGGGTGAGACAAGAGATCAGAAGGAAAACGTTAACCCAAGGCTTGTAGATGGAGAACTTTTCTAGTGCCCTCTTGAGTTATCTGCTGTAACAAATGAAGTGGTTTCTATTTATTAAAAACAACAACAACATACCCACTAAGTTGTCTCAATTTTTCTGAAAGCCAGCGGCAGGCGGACGAGCTACAAAGAGAATGAATGTGTGTGCGTGCGTATTTCTCTACCTTTTTTTGTGTGCAGGTTCTTAGGTATCGAGTTCAAATCTTAGAACTCAGGGTGCTGTCTCCAGGTCCCTCGCCCAAGGCCATAGAATAATAGTCACTTAACCTTGACTCAGAGTGGCTGCTCTGTGCTTAGTGAAATGTGTAGATAATAAAGGAGAACAATGTGTTAATACAAGCAAAACGTTAGGGGGATTTGGAGAAGCTGGAGACGAGGTTCATCTGGAGTCATTAGGACATACTCGAGAGGAGCTAGCATCTAGGTTTGGTCTTGGAGGGTAGGTCGCATTGAAATAACACCGACGATGGTATTAGGGCGGCGTAACAAGGGCCTTTGTGGGGCTGGTCAGCAATGTCATCAAACCGTGGCCGCATGTGGCTGGGGAGCACTGTGGGGCTGGTAAGCCCTGTTCAGTGAGGATACCTACTGGCCCAACTGGCTCAGGACTTCAGACTGGCCTCCATGGTTCTGTCTGCATGGTGTGGGTTACCCTATGTCTTCAAGTTGCCAGAATTGGCTTATAATAATTCCGTAGACATACATTGTCTGGAAACAGGTTTTCAACTCGGTCTTCCTGCGTCTCAAACTTAAAACCAGTCTCCTGGGTGCTTCCTAGCACTGAGCCCTCATGCTCAGCTGGTTTTGTTTTTGGGTTTTAGTATTCCTGCCTTATTTGAGTGGGTTTCTGATAGCCAACTTTAGGGAATTCACTTGGCCACCTCATCCATATCAGTGAGCAGAAAGCTCCACAGATTTGAAGAACAGTGGACGAATGACTGAATCATTTTCCACTTTCCTTCCCCATCGCCTAACTGTACTTGGTTTGGTGGCTGTGGAAGCTCCTTGGGGCGGGGTAACAGTGGGGAGGGGACAGCTACTGGGTGTGGCAAGTGGAGGAGGCAGCAGAAGACTCGGTTTGGATAGGAAAGTGGTGATTGCAGGGAGAAGGCCATCCCGTCCGGAGTGGGCTGAACCATACGCTCAGCCTCAGCCCTGCCGCATGCTAGTGGTGGGTAACCGGCTGGAGAGGCGGCGATTGAGTCTGTGTGACCACTTTGCATTACTCCAAGTCAAGGGGCTTTTGAAGAGGGATGTAGACTACACTGTCCTATGGAAAGTAGCAGCTGAGGCTGAACTCAACGCTTCACCGTCTTCAGAAGCTGAATGTGGCCTGTTGCAGAAATGGAGATAAAAATGAAGGTCCACACTGTGTATGGGGTGAGCGGGCTGAGGTGAGAAGTCAGCACCTTTATATAAAGAGGAAGAGGAGTAGCAGGCCCGCCGAGCGTCTAGCCGCGTGGGCCTGGGTGTGCATTTGGGGTGCTTGTGATGCCGTGTGGAGCACAGCAGCTCAGTTCTGAGGATAATCCAGAAGCATATTGAGAAATAGGACCCAGTGCTTTTGTACCTGGAATTCGTGGTACAGAACTAACGATAGTGGTATCCGAAATAGGTCAGTCACTGAGACAACTGGAACCATCCAAATGAAAGAAATCGAAGTTCAACGAGTACGCACTCGAGGGGATCGCGGGACAACAGCCTGAGAAGACGATACAGTTTCTCGGGGTAGGCTGAGGGATGGCTCACTGGGAGAGCATTCGCACACTAGCACGCACAAGGCAGTGGGTTTGATCCCAGCTCTAAACAGTAACTGCCCAGGGTGGAGGAAAGTGATTGGTTTACCAAATTGTGATGTATTTAGGAGGCACTGGAATTTGAGCTGGATGTATTTAGGCCAAGTGAAAATACATCCCATGTATTTTCTGCAGGGTAACTCTAAAAAGTTATACAGGCCACAAATAGAAACGTTTTTGAAAGGCACAGAGAAAATTGCAGGAAAAAAAAAAGCTATATATCCTTTGTTAAGAAACCAGTCTTGAGGCATTTCGTATTGCTGTGAAGGATGACTCCCCTGTGGTGTATTTATTGGGAGAATGGTTGGTAGCACTGGGATTGCAGTTGCTGGGAAAGTTACCCATTGCTTAAGTCTAAATAGAACATTCATGACTTTGGTCTCTGGCGGACCTCGTGTAGAGGACGGCTGTGTCTGCGTGGCGATTGGCTAGCCGCCTGGAAATGCTTGCCGCCCTCCTCAGCTCCACTGCTCATCATGGGCAGTCGTGGGGAGTCTGGGGAGCATGCTGCAAGTGAGGGGGGAGGGGGGCAGGGAGGGGGGCAGCCCTTCCAAAGGACCCCGCTCTGGGCCGGATCTTAGGTCCTACAGGAAGGTAGAGCTCTCTCGGGAGGTGGGTCTCTGGGCGGAAGTTACATCCCTGGGGTGTGCCTGGAGGCAGGAGCGGCCTCTTCCCTGCCCTCTCTTAGCAAGCCTGAGGTGAGCAGCTTTCACACCTCTCCTGCACAGTGTACTTACTGCTTCTCCACAAGTCTGAAGACAATGGAGCCAAACGCTCCAAAACTGAGTCAAAACAGAGCTTTCCTCCTTTATGTTGTTAGCTCAGATACTTAGTCGGTGAGGGGGAAGCTGAACCGCAGGAGCCGAGGACGGGGGCTGGGTGCTGGGGACCAAGGCAGAGCTGAAGGGCGGAGGGACACTTATTTTGTGCTGTGACATAGCTGGTTATCATTGTAGCTGGGAGGCGTGTGCACAGGTGTGGTGGTTCTGAGGGGGGTGGTATCAGATTTGTAGGCTGATGTCAGTACTACAAGCTTGAGAAAACCTTTACGTGGCTGTGGGTGTAAAAGTTTATACTTAGCTGGGCGCCAGTGGCTCCTATCTGTAATCCTAGATACTCAGGAGGCTGAGATCTGAGGATCATGGTTCAAAGCCAGCCCAGGCAGGAAAGTCCATGAGACTCTTATCCCCAATAATCCTAGAAAACCAGAAGTGGCGCCGTGGCTCAAGTGGTAGAGCGCTGCCTTGAAGCCAGGTGCCAGTGGCTTTTCTCTGTAAACCTAGCCACTCAGGAGGCTGAGATCTGAGGATCACACTTCAGTCAGTCCAGGGAGAAAAATCCCTGAGACTTATCTCTAACTAAGCACCTGAACAGCTTAAAGAGGAGCTATGGCTCAAGTGGTAGAGTGCTAGCCTTGAGCAAAGAAGCCGGGGGACTGCCCAGCTCAAGCTCCAGGACTAGTGTGCGCACGCGTGCGTGTGCACACACACATTCAAATTGAGCACATGGAAGGAGGTATATGGAGCTATCCTGAACATGTTCTAAGCCAAAGAAAAGTTATAGGACAAGAGAAAGAAAAGTCAGCAGAGGGCATCAGTTACACGATAATTCAGTATTTCAAGCCATTGAATGCAGGGAAGTAGGTTTGGGACACAGTGCCACCTTGTGGAAGTTATTGATATTCCTTTTTACGAGAGCATTCAATGAAGACTTGGGAAATAACCCCAGCCCTCCAGGTCTCCTCATCTTAGAGCCCCTTGCTATGTGCAGCATTTGTATACCATCCTGTCCCTAGCACAGTCCGTTTGACAGCTGAGGAGACTGAGGCTCCGTTCTAGCCAATATGAGTAGGCTGTGCTGATATTCTGCTTTTCTGACAGACCACGGATTGGTGGTTGCTTCTAACGCTTTCCAAATCCCTTGTCGTCTCTTTTAACCTTTGTCTTTTCTCCCTGGCTTTCCTCTACATAGTCTCTACATTTGTATTGGGTGGCATTTGGCCTTTATTGAGTCCACAGATGTTGACTGAGCACTCACCATATGATATGTATTGTTCTACACACGTGGTTGGGCTACAGCTGTGCGTAGAAATGCTATAGTTTATATTATACTGTAGTGAGCAGAGATGGCTAACAAATGTGAAGGGAGTCAGTACGTGCTAAGAGGAAGGAAAAAGTAGGAGAGTATTAAACTAGTAGGTTGGAGTAGGTCTCATAGAAAAGGTAATTTGGCGGGGAAGGTGGCTCAGTGGTAGAGCACTTGCCAGCATGCACGAAGCCCTGGGCTCGATTCCTCAGCACCACATACCCAGAAAAGGCTGGAAGTGGCGCTGTGGCTCAAGTGGTAGAGCGCTCGCCTTGAACAAAAGCAGCTCAGGGACAGCGCCCAGGTCCTGAGTTCAAGCCCCAGGACTGTAAAAAAATAAAAAGGAAAAGGAGTAGGAGGCCCATACAGTTCTCACCAGAGTGCAAATGTGACGTGGGCCGAGCGCGCGGCCACAGGGCCATCGTGGAGTGAGTGGTGAGCCACAGGCCAGCGGCCCGGGGAAGGCTGAGGCCGCGCCCCCCGTCCAGTGACGTCCGGTGGTGGGCAGAGCTGCAGAGCTGCCCTGTCTGGGTCAGGCCCTGAGTGGATCCTGGGTGCCCGGTGAATGGAGACACCGGCTGGTCACAGAGAGGCCGGCTCCCGAGCGTGCAGCCAGCCTGGAACCGTGCCAAGGCCGGGCAGCGGGGAAACAGGCCCCCGTGAGCCTGGAAGGGCCTGAGAGGAAAGGGTTTGGGGTTGGTTTGGTTTGCGATTGCTGTTGTTTCCCGCCCCCGTGGCACTGAGGATCTGCGTGTAGAAGCAGCTAACCCATGGGTGTGACCTGAGCCACTGTGTCCAGCAAGGCTTGGCCTGCAGCCGCGCTCTCCGGAGCAGCTCCTCTCCCCGGCACCCGCCCCAGAGATCTTGGCCAGACCCTGACTTGCATCTTAGCTCTGTTACTTTGTACAGAAACAAGCTTTCCAGAGCCCCAGGGACGCAGCCCAGGCGGGAAGTCCGCAGGGCTCACCACCGGGCGGCCACCGGTCCCAAAAGGCCTTTATCAACACGCGCACCACCTGGAGGGCTGGCGCACGAACCCTGCTAGCTGTACCCGTGTGCTCCTGGTCGAACGAAGCCCACGCCTCTTCCACAGGAAGAGGCCGCCCAAGCCAACCAGCACCTACACCCTCGCCACTGCAGCTGCCTGGAACTTTCTGGAATGTATTTACCAGTGTAACCCTCCTTAGCCATCCCAGAGTCT